GGGGGGGGGGGGGGGGGGGGGGGGGGGGGAAACCGCACGACGTGTGCCGGTTTGCAGGTAGCAACTATTTACGTACAGTAGTTTTCTCAGCTTTTTCGTCGGTGTGGAAAGAGTATTTAACAGCTTACGGCAATGCTCCGATGGCAGTCCAGAGAAAAGATTAGCCCGTCCCGGCATAATGACTGTAGGCTATGAATGACATGTTTGACACGATGCACGATAACTGATACACACCGGCGGTTGCCTACATAACAATGCGTTGCGATGAAAAACTTTACGACAGCAACGACCATGCTCGACAATCCACGCACCATTGTCTGCATCGAGGCCAACATCCAACGAGAAGTCGGAGGAAGCGGTGGTCGTACTCCCGCCAACGGCGCCGCCCCATCCGGCCTTCGAGGCTGACGACGTAGTCGATGATACCGACGTGCTGCTCGTGGTCGTAGATCCCGAGGTGGTAGATTCAGACCCGGACGTCGTGGACGCCGAGGTTGAATAGGAAGAACCTGTTGTCGTAGTTTTCGATCCAGAGTTGCTGGAAGATCGAGGATTACTGGTAGAGGATCCCTGTGATGCCGGATCGCCGTCGTCTGGTGGTCGCGGCACGGTGTAGTCCTTGTCTCGCAGGTCCGTCACCGCTACGGATGATATCGGTATCGATTTGTTTCCGGAGGCGCTGAAGCTAGCGTTGGCGGCATTTCTGTTGTTGCTCGACCTCGTGCCGGACGTCGTGCCACTGCTGCTGCTGCTGCTGCTGCTGCTGCTGCTGCTGCTGCTGCTGCTGCTGCTGTCGGTGGAGTCGTTGTCGTCGCCATCGTCTAGGTTCCGCTTGAACGCTTTCGCGGTAACCTCCACACGGCCACACGTGAGAGGCAATACACGTTCATTTATTTTTGGGGAGGGCTATTGTAGCATCGTCGGTTGAAACGCACAAGAAGCTGCCTTGGCGTTGGTTTCACCTCAACCTCATGCAGGCGAGAGGGCAAGGCGTGTCCAGATTGCCAGCGCTATGTATACAGCAGTATTCGCATGTCCTCCCGCCCCTACTAATACTGTCAGCCGCGACAAGTCGAAGTTTATATTCGGACGGCGGGCAAACCGCCAACAACAGGCAGAACCTCTACATCATGTTACCACACCTTTACGAACGGTAGAGGCATCATCGTTACAGCGAGCGAGGGTTCTCCTGGTTCTACGTGGCTCTCGTTAAGTCGTCCTGATGCATTATCTCGAAACAAAGGGAAAACTACAATAGGTTTTGGACGCCCCGTGTCGTGTCGTCGTCGAGGAACAAAGCAATGGGGCCAGGGGGGTTTCGAATCTCTGCCGTATATGCATAGAAAGATCCTGGAAATTTCCTGCTGCTAGCTGGCACGCTTTTCATTTTTCATCATTTGACATCGTTGCTCTCTCGCTCGCGCCAGTAGCACAGTGATCCCCGAAAAAACGTGCTGGTTTGTAGTGCAGTGATGCCTGGCGATGCAGTGATGCACGCCAGCAGTCCACCATCGTTCCGCGCTTGCCTTGCCCCTCAGGCGCTCACCCGCGGCGGCAGCAGCCACCGTTACGCATCAGCACGGAGGAGAAGTGATCTCAGCTACCGTGATACCCGAGACAGCTTCTGCGGCGCACGGTCATCGGTTGCTGCTGCTGCTGGTCAGCGGAGGGAAGCAGCATCACCCCGAGCAGCAGCGGCGGATGGTAGCCGTGCGGCAGCCGCGGCAGAAGCGCTAGCCCTCGCGTCGGAGCCAACGATAGAGGAGATGGTCCCGATATCGAATACTCCATGGAGCGGCCACGACAACGAGCGAGGTGCTACTCAGGAGGGGCAGCAGCAACAAGGCGCAACCATGGCGACGGCGGGAGGAAGCAGGGTGGATGCCGCGCTGATCTCGAGAGGAGCGCTCCGGAGCGGATACCTCTGGAAGCTGGGGGTCAACGTGCCCAAGTGGAAGCGGCGCTTCTTCGTGCTCAAGCCCATCACGATGCTCTTCTACTACATGTCCGAGCACGACACCGAGCCTCGCGGGTGCATCGACCTCGACCTCTTCGACGCCGTGCGAGAGGTGCGAAGAGACTCCGGTGGTTACTCCGCAACGACAGCCGCTGCCGAGACCAACAACACTAGCGGCGGCAGCGGCAAGAGGGGGGCCGCGAGCACGGCATTCGAGCTGTACCGCTCCGGCTACCCGGACGGCAGCGGGTTCATGCTGGAGGCTAGAGGCGGCGAGGACTGGGAGCAGTGGGTGGAGTCCATCGCGAACGGCAGGCACGGAAAGCTGCAAGCCGAGATGGACGTGATGAGAGGCACCAACAAGGTGGGTTATTGGTTCTCTGCTCGCGCGGCAATTTCTGCGTGACGTCTCGCGAAGGCTCTCTCTTCACACTTGATGCTGCTGTAGGTGCTACACTGCCTTGGGTGCCAGCAGCCATCGAGTCATGGAAACTGCAGTATGTACGTCTTATCTGCCAACCTCCCCCGCGTTTTCACCTTCAACCCTTGTTGTTCTTTAGACCCCAAGAGGTTGGTATGGTTGGTTCCGCTCTCTGCTGACATGGCACATCCGTGCGCACATTGTGTGTGGCGGGTGGCTCTCTTTCATGACGTTCTCTCAACATTGTTTGGACCGATCAGACCAAATCCGCCGCTTTTAGCATGTCGGGTTGCGTCTACAACACCACCTGACGAAGCGATCGATTGAGGGAATGAATGTGACATCGCAAATATTTTCTCGCGTTGTTGTTGTTGTTATTGTTGTTATTGTTTCTCACATTACAATGATGTAGCTCTTTAGCCTAGTCCACAACAAATGGGGAGCCCGTGGTCTCAAAACCCGGCATACGACGCCGTCGGAAACAAAACAAAAATAGGGTACAAACGGCACGGGAGAAGGAAACAAGATGTGTCCAGGATGCACTGCACTGAGTTGACAGCACTCGTACTATGGTTGTTATCCGTGGTACATACATCAGTGACGTGTATACAGCAGCAGTATAACGCGGACCAGTATATACGACGAGGCTGCGAAGGGTTTGCTGCGGAGACGAAATCAGAATTCGGAACGTACAACCCTTCGGTCACGAATGCTCCGCACGCATAATTATCGATCCCGCGGTAGGCAGCTCTCTGCTTGTTGCTCCGTATGGACCATACGACTATACCGCTCAGGGGAAGCAACCTCTACCAAAGAGATACCATTGCACTGAGAATGCTGCCAATCAAACTCGAGATGGAAAGTAAAAAAGTGCCTTGACGCGTCTACGCGATTGGCGAAGTTGCGGCTCGGTTTTCACAAAACCTCGACTACTGATCTTGTGGTGTAAAACATCTCGAGCGGGTAGTCTTGAACGTGATTGCACAACAGCAGCATTTTTTTATTTTTGCCAATACAATGCACGAATCACTGCTATGTATGCATACCACTCTTCAAAAGGGGGGCCGGTGTGGACACACTCTGGGTAAATACAGGTCCCTGCCTGCTCTGCAAAACAGCCAATGGCCGACAGCTGGAACAGAAATAGGAGGTCATTCAGCCGTGAAGAAAAGAAGAAAAGGCCTTGCTTCTTTGTGTACTGCTGCTGGAATAGGTGGCAACGGTCACACGATGGACCCTTGGAAGACTCGGCGATGTGTCTGTGCCCTTCGGTTGCTTACAGACCTCACTGCGGCTGCTTTTTGTTTTGTATAACGATAGCAGTTCCAGCTGCTTACCGCTACCGTGCTCATCTATAAGCAGGCACGCCCCTTGTTTTCAAAAGAACGCTAGCGGAGTATCATTCTTTTTGTTGCTCCTGAGCATCGGTTTGTTACTCATCACTCTCACTTCTGAGCTTGTGAGAACAGGAACAAACCACCCCACCCTCGCGGTCGGTCCCAAGAGTTCGGGTGTTTTTTGTTTTTGTGAGAATGTTGCATTTTATACCAAACTCCCCCCCCAAACAATTAATGCGGTATGTGCTGGTTTATGTCGCCGTTGTATATATGCTTAGCACCTCTGCCGTGTTTGTGCAACGGGGTGATGGAGGAGCCGCGCTCGTGAAATTAGGATACAGTATGCACCTCGTGTCTTGTACAATACTCGCTTGCTGGAAGGACTTGACGCTTCTTGCTGCAACAGGCCCCTTAGTTTGGGGTGTTCTCTCGAACGGGAAGACTTTCGGTGATTACACTTGCCACATGCATGTATTTGTGTCCATGGTGGTGCACGTGCTTGGTGAGCTAGTCACGGTCCGGCCCACGCTTTCCGATATCTACATACAATCGTATCTGAGAGTCTCCTCTATGCGCAAGATAGCATAGCATCCACATGCTCTTCAAGCTAACGAATTTGTTTTGCGTTGCTTGCCCTCCACGACCCCATCATTTTTTAACATGAACGCGCAGCTCCTGCTGGATGAGATCAGCGGCCTGGAGCAGCAGGTGGCCACCTTCCGCGGGTACGCGGAACAGCGGCATGTGACCGTCCTCGCTCTGCGGGACGAGCGGCACCGCAGCCGCGAGGTGGCGGCCGAGCTCGCCGCGCTCGGCGACACCGCCTCCGCCCTGTCGCACCTCATCGCCGAGGGCCTCAAGGGCGGCGATGGGAAGCAAGGTGACGGCGAGGAGGAGGAGGAAGGCGCCCATGAGCTGGCGGCGGCCGGAGAGTTGCCGCCGTCCATGGCCTGGAGGTCCAGCGGCAGTTGGGATCTGGACACCGCGCGATTGCGGTCGCCGTCGGCCCCGCAAGACGAGTCGTCGACTTCCGTGTCTCGAGACAGCGGCGGCGGCGGCGGTGACGGCGGTCGGCCCCGGCAGGAGCAACTCACCGAGCAGGGAGCCGACGAGTGGCTATCCTTCGAGGCCATCAGGAGGGCGTTGGCGGAGGCCCGCGCGGAGCTCGGCCGTAGGGAGCGGGCCCTGGAGCGGGAGGCGGACAGGAGGCGGGAGGTTGAGGAGGAGGCGCGACGCGCCGAGGGGCTGGTGAGGGCGGCGGAAGAGCGGGCGGTTGGCGCGGAGGCGGTGACGGCCCGGGTGAGCGGAAGGGTGAGCGTGCTGGAGCGGAGCGTGGAGTACCTGCAGACGCAGTTGCGGGCGCTGAGGTGAGATGCATGCATGGAAGTACGGGAGATCTATGGCGCAGGCATCGCGAACGACCAAACGTTTTAGGATTGGCTCCCATACACGCGCACAATCCAACTCTTGCCCTACATTTATGTCGGCGTTAAATGGCCATGTCGTACGCTTTCACACACAACGCAACAGCTAGGCTATAATGTAAGCATCAACTTCCGGGCCAATCAAGGCGAAACCGCCGCCGTAATACAAAGAACCTAACCAAAGAGCTTCCTCCACCAACCCATCCCTCTGCAGAGCCGAGCTCTGCCAGGCGCGGCACAAGAACCAGCTAGTCCGGGCGCAGAAGGCCGTCCTCAAGAAGGAGGTACGCGACATGTTGTCGAGACAAGCATCATCGTCCGTTACCGCCGCCGGCACCTCGTCGTCATCCCCCGGTCGTCACCAGCGGCGAGCGGGGGGAGGCGGCGGGGCTTGGCGTTCCCGTGCCCGCACGTGGGCGTCCATGGGTGACCTGGCGGAGGCCGACGTTGCCCCTGACGTTACCGGCGGCAGCAGCGGCGGTGATGGGACCGCAGGCGGGAGCAAAGGAGCGGGTGTGCGGTGGGCCAGCAGGTGCCGCTCTTCGACGTCGGAGTTTTCGACGGCGGACGGTTCGACAGTGGCTATAGAGGATGACGACGGCGGAAAGATTGGCGGCGGAAGCCAACGCCGCCGAGGGAGCATGCGGTCGTGCTTGTCTCGGGAAAGCCTGGCGGCGGCGTCGGACGGCGGGGACACCGACCTGGCGGATAGGACTTGTTCGGAGGTGCGTGGGGTCCACGATGGTGTCCGCACTGCAATAGTGTTAGCGGCGATGCGAGAGTCTTCCAAATGGTTTCAAGGGATGGTTTTGTTGCTAGCTTGATTCCGTCTCTGTTGTTCAGAGCCTGTCGGCGATAATAGATGGTTATTTAGAGGTTGAACATAAGAAAGAAAAGGCAACAGAGAGAGGGAGGAAGAAACGTTTGGGTGAGGCCGACAGTGGGAAAACGCTGGAAGAGAGGTATCCCATCACCTCCATCGCAGTTGCCGTGTTCATCTTGCTTTATCGCCTTGCCTTATCACCTTTGCCCCTCCCCCCCCTCCCCCGCTGTCTCGCCAACGCCACAGGCCTCTGATCTGGAAGAGAATCAAGAAAATATCGTCTTCCACAGCAGCAGCAGCAGCCAGTTCCGGGAGGGCGTGTGCCGTACCATTCGCAAGCGGGTCGGGCCTCCGCGAGTGCCGTCCCTGCCGCCGTCACGCCACCGACGAACCCTTGCCGCTGTCAAGAATCTAAACTCGTTCCACGACGCAACGGTGCTGGCGGCGACACAGCTGCAGCAGCAGCAACAACAGTCCGAAGAGGCGTCCGGCAGCGGCGGCGGCGGCGGCGGCGGCGGCGGCGGCAACGGGGCTTCTTCTGCAGCGCCGGCAGTGGCCGGGCTAGCGGTGGCCGGCATGTTCCTCGGGCTCAACAAGGGCATGGTGGACAAGGCCGCGCAGGAGATGGGCAAGAAGCTCGCGCTCTGGCCGGGGGCGGCGGGGATGGGCGAGGCTGCGATGACGAGCGTAAGCTCGCTGGGTTCCCTCGCGGCGGGCGCGATAACCGGCGTGACCAGCAACAGCAACGCCGCCGGCGCCGCCGGCGGAGCTGGCAACTACCACCCGCACACCCCGTTGGGGTCGCCCCGGTCGGCTTCGGCGAGCGTTTCCGCCGCTCTAACCGACTCGCCGGTGCGGTGGGACCCGTCCTCACAGCACGGGTCCACGGTGTCGACCGACCTGGGTCTCGGAGAGATATCCGGGGCGGAGTCGGAGGCCTGCGTGAACCGTGGTAGGCAGTCGCTGGACGCCAAGGCGGCGGCGGCGGCGGCGGGTGGTGGCAGGGTAGGCGCGGCGGCGGCGAGCGCCCTCTCTGCCGCCGTCGGGGGTGGGCTCAAGAGGGTGAGCTCGTCCCGCACCGCGCTCATCCAGCTGGCGGACCTCGAGCTTGCCGAGCCGTGCGGGAGACAAATCGGCGGCGGTGGCAACGAGATGGAAAGCAGCAGGCCGAGGTCGTCGGCCACACCGCCGTCGTCGCTTCCTTTGGCGGCGGCAGCGGCACCACCTCCGTCCTCCTCCAGTAAGTGGCGGCTGTCGTCGGTCCTCCCCCCGCGGCCGGACGACGAGTACGAGCTCCTCTTCACGACCAGGGTCATCGGCCTCCAGTTCCAGGAACTCCTCGACGGCACCGGCGTCTGCGTCGCCGGCACCGAGGGCTACGTGGGGCCGGCCCCGACTACCGGAGTCCCCGGCGAGCGGCTGTGCCCGGACAACGGGGACGTCCTCGAGTCCTACAACGGCGTCTCGGCCCGCGGGAAGCCGGCGGACGTCGTGGCGCGAGAGCTCGCGCAGTGCGGGCGCCCCCTCCGCCTGGGCTTCCGGTCTACCCGCGCGGAAGACGAGCTCCTACCCGAAGAGGAGGAGGAGGGGGAGATGGAGACCGCGTGGGTGGGGGATTCTCGGCCGCGGACCCCCCTCCTCGAGGAGGGGAGCGGCGGCGGCGGCAGCGCGTGGGGGGGCGGGGCGGGGGCGGTTAGTAGTAGTGCTTCGTCGTGCAGGGATGAAGCTTTCGCCGGGCCGTCGCAGCACCCGTGGGCGGTGTCGTCCTAAAACGCAACACCTTGTTGCTGTGATTTTTTTTTTTTGGGGGGGGGTGGGGGAATTGTCCTGTCTGAGTGGGGAGAGCATATCGGGAGGGAGAGGGAGTGGTTAAAATGATGTGGGACGTCCAAGGTCCCGAACGTTGCTGCTGCTCCACGAGCAGCGTGAGGGACGCGATCTCGGAAGCGCGGCACCGCCGGTGTGTGTGTGTGTGTGTGTGTGTGTGTTCCCGTTTTTTTCATGCATGATGTGTCGATATGCATAGAGTATCAAGAAGGGGCGTATCTTGGTGCAAGAGACTGAGCACACTGCTGCTGTTGTTCGGGGGAACGAAGAGGTGGGGCCGCTTTTTTCGCGCGCGATGCCGCCCTTCCTCGGGGACAAGAATGATCTGTTCTGTTGCTGTTCGCCATGGTTGTATGACGCCAGCGGGGCCTTCATGTGGACGCAGCAGCAGCTAGGCCGCGGGGATGTCGCTCGAAGAGAGATTTTTTTTGTGTATGGTGTCTGAAAACCTGGTTTTGTTTGTAGCGGTTCACGCCCTTTCAGGAGGAGAGAGATACTGGATGTTTGAGGGCTGGACGTTAGTATGCAAAGATTGTGTTGGCGCCAAATCAAACATACGTGTGATGGACGCTGTGGGTCTGCGTGAACCGGTTGACTCACAGCCTTTTTTGTCCCCTTTTCTACCGTTGTACTCAAAAGAAGTAATGCGTGTCCTTTAGCTAATCGATGCTGTTTTTTGTAGTGCTGTGTACGCTGCGTGAGGTTTGCAATAGAATGGGAGGGGGCGTGTATTTTTTTTTTTCGTTTCCTTCCCGGGAGGCCGTTCCAGAAAGAAGGGCTGCCTTTTTTCGCGGGCATTATCGAGTTGTATTCTTTATTTTTCACCTCAATTGTCACTTACATGGAGGTGTACTACGGCCGTGGTTGACGTGGAAATGAAAAAAGGTCGTAAGAAGTGGTTGTATATCTACACGAGTCCCCCAGCCAATTTTTGCTCTTGTGGTGCATTACCGACTCAGGGAGCATCGGAAGGATCTCTCTCTCTCTCTCTCTCTCTCTCTCTCTCTCTCTCTCTCGGGATGATGCCGTTTGTTTCCTAGAGTAGTCGTGGTACATATTCTACAGCAGCAGTAGTGGTACATACGCGACGACGTTGTATCGTTTGACGTGTGTGCTCTGCCGTGGCTACTTTTTCCTGTCGCAGGCCCAGCTGTTTTTCTAGTTGTTTGAAGCGGTGCGTGGTAAAATTATGCTGAAGTGGCGTTTTTGACGGAATCATCTAGTAGTGGCGAAAACCATGGTACCTGGCTAATGGACGAAACCCTTTGGTTCCTAGAAGGACCCTTCACTCTTAAAACACCCACGGGTGCAAGCAAGTTGTTGAATTTATGATCGAAGGACATGCATTACCTGGTATTTGTTGGTCAGTTTTGGTTATATATTCTAGACTACTACTACTGTAGTGTCCGCGTTTGTTCAGAGTGTTCCATGCGCGGCGTTCCCGTTCTGCGGCTGGCTGGCTGTCGTCTCTTCGTTGAGAGGACCATGAAAAAGAAAAAATATGTTTCGAATGTGACATTATTTCTTTTGTTTTCTCGCCAAATATATTGGGGTGTAATTTATGGTTCCCACCCCGCCAATATTGTGTACCGCGGTGCAAGGCGCGCCTTGGCAGGAAAGGGTTAGGGTGGTGCATCACCACATACATTCCCTGTTCACCAGACGGCTGGCACCCCTCGTGCATGTCGGATTATGTTCGTCCAGCGGCGTGTTGCCATAGAGATCAACTTGCTCACACGGTACGGTTGCTGTGACGCGCAGCCCTCAAAGCGGTCTTCTTTCGTCTTTCGTCTTTCGTGGCGAGACTGTCATGTCCTGCATGTACTGCTACGGAAGAAAGGGATGGCAAAATTAGCTTGGTGAGAAGCCGTTGGCACCCAACGGGCAAGATTCTCCAGTTTCCACAATCCGACGACACCCCAGCACCATACGCTGCATGACAGGATCTTGTGTTGGTTGCCATGACGTTCTTGTTGCAAATGGATGGGTGGATTGATGCATGCATCGTGTATTTGCGTCTGTCTCTCCCCGCTCCTCGGGTGTGCCAACAGCGGCCGGGCGTAACAGTACTTGTATGTATACCTGTTTCTTTTCTTTTTTTTCCGGTTAATTTTTTCTTGTTCCGTGCTATAATCGCCACCCTTGGCAACAACCGTGAGTTTTATCAAGAACGGCCAAGTCTCGGAGGAACAGCACTCACACTCCTAGGTGATAATGCTTCACGAAGTCGTATGCCATTTGCACAATGCACTATCTTGCTTGTTGCTTCTCTCCATCCCGTGGCTGAGACTCGCGTCCCCCCCCCCCATCGGCTGTCGCCTTACGCTTGGCGCTCGAGAGGATATCATCGTCTCGAATGACACCGCAGCTGTGTCGGACCACACAACGCCTTCTTCTGCTGCCGGTGGTTCGATGACTTAATAATGCTAGCGATCTGCTACACCATCCTCGTTCCCAAAACGAGATGAAGAGTTGGAACTTGGGGGGTCGCTGTGAGCAAAACGACATCGTCCGACTGTACCACAGGCGTGATCCCCAGGAAAAAAAGCGTGGGGCGAGCTCGTTGGATAGTCTTGACGGCCCTCGGCCAATTAACGTACCCGCTTCTGCCCTTCACCCGAACACCGTTGTTGCTTCTGGACAAAAATATTCAAGCAGGGTTATGTGTCGTTCGTTCAATCCAGATCTATAGAGTAAACGACGACCATGTAATCAAATCGTATTTTGCACAAGAAACAACGAGCGAGGTCGCTCCCACACTCCAGGCATCGGATCAAAAACAAAAGCAATTAGTACCGACGGCCACAACCATGTTACGTTGTACAAGCACGAGAAACAACGACGTCGCTCCCAAATGCCTACCCGTTGCCGTTTGGAGCTGTCTCCGGCGGCACGTTGACCTATCTCAACCCGGGGGGTTGGAGCAAAAGGCGACGACAAGGCTCAGGCAGGCTCGGATGGACGCAGAATTAGTACACATCAACACCTTGACAGCGGTTTCGCAGCTGAAGTTTTGCGTTTCGGCTCTAGGCGGCGGGGTACTGCTATTCCTGCGCTACGCGCGGGGGCGGCGACCGACCGCCGCGGCGTCAAACGAAAATATTACAACGGCCTTTTATAGAGTGGAACACCCGGCCGGCACACCCAGACATTGACAAAAGCAAAAAAGGAAGCGCAATTAAAGCAGCGTCCATTGAAGTATGCCCGTGTTCATTCTAGTGCCGGGAATTCGCGATGGTCGATACCCACGCTAACGTCATAAAAAAAAAAACACCACCACTCCCCGCTGTAGGGCAACTCCTTCACCGGCCGCTAAAAAAAATCAGCCTCGTGTGTGTGTGTGTGTATCATCAGTTTAGCATCTTGAACCAACCCCACAGAGATGCAGGCAAACCAACCGCAGATGGTAGATGCAGAACGACTGATCATGGCGGAGAATGTGAACGCTTGGAGCCTTAGCTTGCCGGTACTCTTGTCGCCGCTCCCCCCTTCCCCGTCCCTGCCGGCGACGGCGACGGTGACGGCGTGGCGGGCACGACGGCGGCCGGCGACGGCGCTCTGCCTTCCCCCGGCCCTCGCCCGATGGCCTTGCCCGCAGGGCTGCTTTGGGCGCCGCTAGCGCTGGCCGCCTTAACGAACGGGTCCCAAATACACAGGGGGGGGGGGGGGGGGGGGGG